TAAGATTAGTGGTGCATGTTCGCAGTCTGTTTACGCTGCGGGACGCAGAGTTATTACAGAGGACCCTATAATTTTTATCTTCATTACGCCAGTCTTTATTAGAAAAGTCAATAAAAAGTTCAACAGAGGAATTCTTAAAGTCACTGTTACCAATAGTTGAACTACCAATCAATAGACAATAGTCAATAGGTTAAAAATCTAACTGTTGGGACGCTTGTTGTCAATAAACGTTGTTGAATATAAATGTCTTGTTAAAATAATCTTGGCTGCCGAAAGTTTGAGGTCGTACGATTTTCTAGGCCCACTCGAATTCCTTCAAAACAATTGTGCCAAATTCTTCGTATCAATATTAATAATATGAAAACTCTTTATTCAATAGGAAAGTTAATATTTTATAAGTTGTCAAACGATGTTGTCAAGATAATCTTCTCACTGTCTCCGAGACGAACTTTCCAGAACCTCTTCCAGAACAGAGGTCCTGAACCAGCATAGTTTAAGTATATACTTGTTCACTTCACGCCCAACAGTGTCGTAAATACGCTAAAAACTTCTCAACCTATCGAAACTAAACGAAATCATTGTTAATTATGATCGCACTCGAAAGCTGATCGAAGCTAAATATCAAGGTCTCGCGTCCGATATCTCCGTAAAGAAATTACGTACATTGGTATTACGATTCATTATCAATCTGGCGAAGTGTAAATAAATCAGCTGTTACATTCGTTTGTTAACAGATTTTATTCATCATGTTATTAGGCACAGATTCATATACAAGCGTTATGGAATATACGTGCACTAGAAGTTTTCGACAAAGCTTTTTTTTGCATTAGGTTCGAGAGTGCATCGAAAACTTTTTTTTGTAAGTTTTTAATTGCGTCACATGCCTCGTACACTTATTCATTCAGAAAGTTCTCTGCAGCAAGTCGCTTTTTAAGGTATAAACATTTTGAGTACACTAGACATATTTTACTATATTCTTCCAATAGTATAACTTAAACTATAAGAATAAAACTTAATTAGTAATTAAAAATTAAAAGTATCGATAGACAATAAGAAGATTTTAAATGAGCCACATTCAAAATAAAAACGTTTACGTACCTACCTCGTGAAATGGACACTGAACCGCGTTCTTAAAGGAGAAGCATACGTGCCTGAAGAAGCGACCTATCACAAATTTCCAGAAATACAAGCCTATTATGAAAAAGAAATAGGAGCCTATTAACTATATCAAAACATAGAAATGCTAATAATAATTTAACGATACTAGTCTGCCCGGTTTATCTCTCGACATTGAATTCGCTTCAGTAGAGATCTGGATGCTACGTCTAGAAGCTCATTTAAGTGAGTTCATTAATAAGCTTTTCTACTCCACCTCTCAACAACGAAGCTTTAGGCCAAATGCTTTGCTTGAATCATGATGTTTCCTTTGTCCATCGCTGTCATCCATACTTCTGCGCAAATACAACTGGTAGGTTACCTTTCTTTTAAATATGTTTCCCGTAATTTCCCCCTCATTTTAGCAAAAGAAGGAAAGCTTACCGTAACTAGTTTATCCTCGCTTGTAACCTCCTTCGGGGACGGGGTCGAGCATTTATAAGATCTTCGTTGAACTTTTTTTGCGTCAGATAGGCGCTTAGACTTGCATTTTCAGAAAAGTACGAAGGTTACCCACAGGGCGACATTTCATCGAGAAACATCAGCTTGACAGTTCTTCAACGCAGTTGGAAAGAAATGCAATAAATAATGAATTACTAGTAAAATCATTTGTGGATAAGTGCAATACATCTGTGATTTAGAGGCTGCTATGCAAAGCTGGTCAAAATATAGAAACAAAACCATAGTTATTGGGAATGTAGTTAACTCATTTTGCAGCGTATTGAGGTTCGTCAATAGACTTCTATTTTACGTATGAGGGAACATGAGGTTGTAATAAAAAGCCACGCCGTCCATACGGTATGAGCCAGCAGTGAGGGTTTCGTAGGTGATACAATGTCACGATAACGTCAACATCGAGGACGTACTACTTACTGATGATGGGTATAGATTGAACCAGTTTAAGTAGAATATGATTTTTTTTGGTGAACCTCATTTCATACGCTTCAGCACCTATTCTAACATTTGTTTTACATTGGAGTCATTGAGGTGGCTATATAGAGTGCTTTTAATAATGGGAAATTAACCACTCGGAACCAAAAAACAAGTTAAGACTTTCTCAAAAGCCATGTCGTTGAACGAATATAACCAGTTATACGTTTATTTGGGGGAAGATATGATGACAACACGTGATCCGAGTGGTCCACTGAAACAACACATAACCAGTTTGCGTTGCCTATAAAAAAAAATCATGCAGTTATCTCCACCTTTCGAGCGACGGCACTCAGTGGTTAACCATAAAATAGATGAAGCGTAAACGTATCCTCGAACGCCCGACCAAAATAGTACGGGAAATTCGAAATCTTAATAAAAGTTCGAATTCTGTCAGTATCGCTCCCATAATTGGTACACATCTCTAATTGGTACACACGCACCTGAAACTCATAAAAACATAGATGGCCATGATGAACCATTTATTTAGTCAGTGGAAGTGAAATTTTCTTTCTTTTTTTTTTAATACTGGCGTCTGATACACAATGAGTGCAAATGCGCATTGAAGCGTTTCACTGTGTTTTGCACAGTCAACGTCAACAAATGCCTTTAATGGGAAAAATAAATAAATCCAAAGGCTGTACGGCAGGAACAAAAGAAAATGTACGCTAAGCCTACGTTTCGGTCGCATTTTCGTGGTGACGGCGTTCAATGATATTAAATCGACGACGAATTGAATATTTGGCCAGAAGAATACAAAATTTAATTTCTATCAGTATTCTGTTGTTAATTGGTACACCTGTTAAGGTTGACGAATGTATATCGAAGACATCACGAAAATAGATCATAACAAACCGTTTAGTTAGTAAACAGCAATCGACCAGATTTTATAGATCGTTCGAGTGTAAATAGGTTCATACGCCGGTAGAGGAAACAAAAGGTGAAGCATTCTCGGCAAGATAATGGATTCGAGTTAGCCATATCAGTTGTGTTTAAATTTTCAGAGTACATTACCCTTGAACTGAATTGTGATAAAGACAGATGTAACAAGCTGGCGAAAATAGAAGTCTATCATTTTCTGTGCGTAAGTAACGATGAAGAAGTTTTATGCACCTAGGCCAAAGTCGAGTCGAAGAAACACTAACAAACGGCAACGTTTCATTTTCCTTCAATTGAAGAAGAATCAAGTAATTCTGTTCTGTTGTATAGTGAATTTACAACATTATGTAACTCATCCCCAGGATATGTCACAAAAGGATCAAATCAGTTGGCATCCATGAATGGCCTGGACAAAACGCATAGGCTATGGCACGCTTTTAACGCATCCCCACACCTTGAAACTGCTGCATCGCGCTATTCTCTGATAACAACTTAAATATTCTGTGCTTTATGCTATACAAAAACTCTCTTTTGACATATAGACACCACTGTTAGAGCTAAACGTAATGACGATCGATTCCTCCCGAGATGAATGACTATAACTATCGTCGAGTCCAGCAATTTAGCATGGCAATAACGTAATGACTGTACGAAACTGGCCAGACTCGAGCTCGATGATAATAGTTGGATGCCTAGTGATACATTATTTCACACTGACTACATCTACATTGAAGTCCCAATGTAGATGCTAACGTTGAGCATGCGACAGAAGTATGGCGTGGTACCTTGCTCGTCGAAGATCGAATGTTGTCACACATCTGATCGGACCTATCCGAAGATATCAGGTATACAATTGTAACGACAGGATATCATGCCTGGTTCCACATCTTCAGCTTAATAGGTTCTCTGATAAGGCAGTACGACCTCAGGCTTCATCTACTCAGACACATCTAAATGAGACAAGGATTCCTCATCGGTTGACGTAGCTCTTCCAAATTTTTCCCTTGCGGCTCAGCGGATAAAACGTAACAACTTTATTGGTATCACTTTTCGACCTGACAAAAGCATTGGGACATAGAAGTGGTCTGGACGTTCAATGAACGCCTTCATAGAACAAGTTACACGCATGATCGTCCCTGGCACATGGTTCGTTTCGAAGCACAGCTAGATCCTACCAAAACTTGTTACCGACCAAATTAAACGCATACTACACAAGCAATGAATCTAGAAGGATCAAATATACTATATAGATTCTTTGTTTCTAGTACGATTTCGTGTGTAATTTTCCATGTTTTTTTTTTTGAACTCTAAACTGAAGAATACAAAAAGGTAGCTTACTTAAATTGGAAATACAAATAATAATAGTAGAAAAAAGAGTAATATTAACTAATATTTCTGTTAGATAATTCCGCATTTTTGCTGTTGTTTTTTCTGCTATTCTGTAATTATACCAACAGCAACTCGAATATGAATACAAGGTTTATTAAAGAAAGCCAAGCCAAGCCAAGCCAAGCCAAGTGTTTCAATGTAATACCTTACACTACTCACAAAAATAAAAATTCATAGAAAATAGAGTTACTATTATCGAAAAACATATCTGGCCTACTGTCTCTCGGAAGCTCCTCGCGTACTGCCTGGCCAATTTTCGGAAGTGACGAATCAATGAGTTGAAGCATTCAAATTTATTAGAGTTCTGTTTTTCTTTCTTTTAGTCACCCTCCTCTCGTTTCTTCTCAACTTAAAAGATATCTGCTTCCGTTACAAGCAC